TTTCAACCTTTTTTTTTTCAACCTTTTTGTGCTGTTCTCCGTCAGCAATGCAGGATGGTGGTGATGATCCCTGACAATAATTCGTAATCCACGTTGCTGTTCTGTCTGCTCTGACCCAGACCAGTCCCGGTCCAACCAGTGTAGTGCGCCACGCAGCTCGGACGGACCGATCGTTGAACTTTGTCAAAACCAGCGTTTGATAAGTTATCCAGTGGTGTAATAATGCCAGTGGCAGCCAGTGCCAAACCATTCCCGACGTGGCTGGTACGTCCGCATTTTCTGTCAGCGTGCATCATTTGGATCGTGATCAACGCCCACGCGCGCGCTCAGTGTACATTCGCACCCCCTGGGGTAGTTATCATTGGATACGCATTCTAAGTAACGGAGTCCCAGGCCTTATCCGCCCGGGGTTAGCCTCTTCGCCTCTCCCCCCCCCCCCAACCCACCCCCTTTCCCTCTTTCCTACCGGATCTATCCATCCTGCATCAGTCTCGAATTTGGATACGCAACACAACAGACGCCAAGCGACGTGGGGTCAGAGAAAATCCTGGGGGAAAGTTTTTTGAGTTTTCTTATTAACCGTTTATTACATAAGTGTGGCACCAAAGTGACCAACCACGTGAAGAAAGTGGGCGGAGTGAGTGGCTTGGCTTTCCCTTTTGGGGTCAAATCCCCAGATTCCGCAGGTCTGAATTTCCTAAACGGGAAAACGCTCTTTGGGTATTAATTACTTGTATATGTGTTTTGTTGTTAAGAAGGGTTGGTGGCGGGGAAGGGGGCCGTCCTCCACAAAAGCTTGCTGGAGGAGACTGGGAGGTAAGTAGGAAGGAGGTAATAGATACTGGGAAAACATGGAGCGCACGGCAAGGCCGTGAGATCAGGCGGGTTACATTGCGTACAACTCTTTATCTTGATAAATTACTCCCTACAGCCATTCACTTCCACCTTGTCCTCCTTGCACCGCGCATCAACCCGACTGCAAACGCCATTGAAATCGGAAATCACAAACCCCAGTAACCCAGCACCCCGCTGTTGACACTGTCAACGTGTCAGTGGTTGCCAGACCTCTGGTCCAACCGTGATCACGTCTGCAGGCCATACCACCGACCAAGGTGGTAATTCTCCTAGCACCTTTAATCGTACCTGCCTCTTGACGATTGGAGTCAAACCTAGACAGACATAGCCCTCGACCTTTCCCCCTGCACAGGAGTGTATTTTCCTCTCCAACGAATAGGCGTCTCCAAAAGATGGGAACTGGAAATCATAGTAAGAGTTGAGACTCTTGCACTCTTCCATTCGCCAATCGAGGGCAAATTTGAAAAGTTTGGTCAGTTTTTCTCGGAGCCTACCACGCTCGACAGGCTCTTGAAAGAAATCGGATACGGTTGCCCCATCAGTGGCTGTGAAAGGGTCCGACGGTTGACACCACCGCACACCAGGAACATATCGCGCTGGAAACGACTTCTCCGACTTGGGTAGAAGTATGTCGATATATTGAGCCATCTGGGTAGCCATGTTTTCAGCGTTTGTTTGATTTTGGGGGAGGAATTGTCTGTCCACGTATTTCGCCCAAAACCTCTCCTTTGGATTGGCCGCCACAACTGGCGCAAGACCTGTAGAAGTCAGTGGCGCTGGATCAAAGTGTCAGGAATTCTATATACACTCACATTTTTCGTGGACTTCTTCAAACATGTACTTCAACGAGTCGGAGAAGAGATCCCACGATGATGGTGATCTATTCAGACACCATGATGTGACTGCTGCACCGACCAGCGAACGACTAAACGAGTCCCAGTCAACCGTATTGGTCCTTCTTTGTAGTGCCTCGAAATGGCGACGATGGCGCGTCGGGACGAGGGTCTCGATCAGCCGTTTGAGTTGCCCTGGATAGATAACCGTGGGGTCCAGGAGGACCGTTTGGTCCATCATCCCCAAGCTGTGGATATACCCCCCAACAGCTACACTAGCCTTCGCAAGGATTGTTTCCATCGTGTTCTTGATTGTTAAACTGCATGTAAAAAGGGCATGCTCATACAGGAGCTTAGCCATCCTGGGCTGATGGTCTTCCCAGAACTCCAGTGCCTCAAGAATCTTATGACTAGGTGGATTCTGTGGCAGAGGTGAGCGATTGACTGCCGCATCTGCTGGACGCGGAGAAGTAGGGTCTTCAGTTTCCAGGTATGCTTGAGGCTCCGCAAGGGGAACGTCTCTTGCTGGCTGAATCTGTGCCTGAGATGCAGTACCATGGACAGTATTTGGTTGGACCTCAGGAGTCGGCACAGCACTGGCATATAGGGGGATTTCAGCCTCGGGTTCATCAGCATCTTGCGTCGTGATCTGCAACAAGCTGTCACTGGAGGAAGTTGACGTCACACTCCTAGCGGAGCTGACTGAATCCGTCGACTTTGCACGTTTCGATGGCGAGCAGTCGTTTGGGTCGCTTGAGCTCACTGGATCTTCAGCCTTTCGCTTTTCGCCCGGGTTGATTGCCGCAGAAGGATTATTGTCCGCACTTTGAGCGAGGTCTCGTGGCTCCTCTGACGAGAAGAGGTCTGCAAACCCGGACCCAAGCTTTTCACGATCCAGAGCTGCAACACCCTCGTCGAAAAACGTGGTGGCCGCGAACGGTGTGGTCTCATACTTGGCCAATCTGTACTTGTTCCACACACGTCTCAATTTTTCGTTGATCCTGCGTTTCAAGACAACAGTGCCTAGTTGAGGGGTACTGTAGAACTGATCGTGGAGATGTGCAGCTATTTCATCCAGGGCGAGTTCGAAATTTTGTCGCAGCGTCCCATCCGGTCCTTTATTCTGCTCTATCCACTCCAGCAGGAGCTTTTCAGCTGCAGGAGTCCACTGCAAAGGACCGCTCTTCTTTGTCATGTTGGGCGAAGCGAGGATGAGCTGCGGAGAGGGCAGTGCTATGTAGATTTATACGGGGAGAATGTGTGGATGAGGTGTACGAGACGAGAGGAGATGGACGAAAGAAGTCAAGTTCGTAAGGAGAAGTCAGTCAAGGGGAGGGCTGCGGCTTGCTTTATGTGACCATGTCTCGACCGTTACACCGAAAGGGTTTCTGCATGCAGACGTATTTTTCGATCTTGGTTGTCTGGAACTGCGGTCGACACAAAGAAAGTGGCCGTGAGCGGGGCATGGCGTGAGTCAGGAGCGGACAGATTGGCGGATTGAGTGAAGTCAGTGACTGAATGATTGCTAGAATGATTGATTAAGTGATTTGAGAGTGGCAAAAGGTCTGGTCTCAATCAAAACAGCATGTTTGCTGGCTTCACTTGAAGATCGTGGAAGACTGCACTTGTCACTTGTCAGTGTCTCTCACTTCCTACTTCCCACCCGCCATTACTGCTTCCTGTACAAGGTACTTGACAGCCTTGCCTTCATCCTCTATAAATTCTTGTTCTTCTCTCTTCATTTCAACCAGATACTCTTCCAACCAGATTTGGGCCTCCTCCGTCTCACCAGGATCCTCACATCTCACCATTGCTTCTTCCCATCCATATTCCATATCGAATATGCAGAGCCTCATCAGCCGACGCAAACACTTTCCCCTCAACCAAAATCATCAGAGCAACCTCATACAACCCGACACCCATCGCCTCAAAGTTGCCATCGATTTTGGGACCACGACTTCCTCCATTTGCTATGACAAGGTTGCCAGTGTGGAACCATTGCAATCCCGCAAAGTAGCCCGGAATGTGCTCTGCAATCCATATGAACCGGCAGGCCACAGAGTGCCGTCGACCGCTGTTGTCCATGAAGATATTGCCAGTGATGGGCGCAAGAGATTGGTGCTGAAGTTTGGGGAGGACCTCGATGCTGGCCGTTCTCATGGCGTCCTTGCTGAGATCACGTTGATGAAGATGTCGCTCCTACCTCTCTATCTTGAGAAGTCATCGGATCGGCTCACGGCGAACATGCTCAATTCTCTCAAGTCCCGCCACCAAGATGCTCTACGCAAGATTCAGTTCGAGGCCGTGACCAGTGATATGTATACACAAGATCCTCTCACGGGCCAGTTCAGACTCTGCGTTGTCAACTCAATGGAGGACTTGATCACCTTGTTCTTCGAGTTCCTTTGGCATCTCACTATGAGACACTGTGCCGCAGAGTATGGCATCGGAGTGGAGGACGTAACGAGTCTGTTTCACGAAAGTGTCGACGTCGCCATTTCTGTTCCATCAATTGGATCTGATGATTCTCCTATGGGGAATTACCAACAGTTGTTGAACAAGGCTGGATATCCCAAGAATACCTGCATCCTTTTCGAGGGAAAATCGGCCGGATTGTTTCATCTCGTCACAGAACGTGGGGGCGAAAATGACAGACTGGATCAGGTGGAACGCCAACCCGCTTTCATCATTGTTGATATTGGCGGTGGAACAACTGATATCTGCTCCGTCCGCCCATGCGAGATCAACAACGAAACTGTTATGCTTGGGTCCAGCCCCGGACTTAGCGTTGTTGATGGATCGCTCAAGCTCAATGAAATGTTCAAAGAGCATTTGCGGCAGAAATTTCCAGAAGGCTTGCTCCGATATATGGCGGAATTCCTTGGAACTGAGTCCGACCTGCTGGATGCCTTTGCGGCAGGCTTCGAATTCCATAAGAGAGATACCGGCACTGACATGAACGACATTGAGATCCAGCTTTATCGCGGCGCCCTCAAGCCAACGGAAGAGCTTTGTCGCGATACCTTCGAACTCACTAGAGACGGTCTTGTTTTGCGAAATTTCATGTTGCGCAGACTGTTCGATATGTGGCTAGACAATATCTTTCACCTTGTGGACAAGGAGGTGCGGAACGCTCGGCTCTACAATTCCGAAGTGCAATCTGTCACAATTTGTCTGGCTGGTTGGGGAAGTCGGCCCCCCTACGTCCTCGAGGCCTTCGGAAACCGTTACCGCCAACAAGGAACCAAGGTGGTGATGGTTCAAGACCTTGACCAGAGTCCGGCGGTCGCCCAAGGCAATTTCCTGTCTCTTGCAAGCCAAATGGTTATCCAGAAAAAGGTCGCCCGGGCGACATTTGGCACTCGTCTTCACATCTCGAGCAGCTTCCGCCACGTTGATACCCATGGTACACAGCGGGTGGTCCACCAGGGTACGGACTTGGAGGACCCCCGCCAGCAATCGTCCCTGACAAGAACGGTCGTTACCGAGAACCCAGTTTTCCCGTTAACCTTAAAATTTGACATCATGTCGGACACCGAATTCCAATGGGTTGAGAACGAGGGCACGGTCCAGATTGAGTTCGAGAGTTTGGGAAGCTGCGGCTTCCGCCTCGAACAACGTGGCGATGGCGTAACAGTCCTGAAGGTGCAATATTCTGTCCATGTCTGTTATCGAGGGATGGTCAGCATAATGGTCCTGACTGTGCCTCACACGGGTGATTTTGACAACACCGAAAGAAACAGAAACCTCGACATGATTGCATCCCAACCAATCAACATTCAGAAGCATGCAGCAAGAATGGACAACATCGATGACCCTTAGCATGGGGGCGGTTCTCTACTGCCAAGAAATCCAAAAGGCGTTCGTGTCAACCTTGATCGAGGAACCGGTTGAGATTTTATCTTGGGGAGAGGTTGCTTTGCCGTGTGTGACGAGTGGGAGCCGGATGACGGAGATGCCACGATACTTTTTGCTGGTTTTATTGAAATGATCGAGCTGCAAAAGTGCCGAAGGGTTGACAACGAGCTGTTTGGAAGAACAAACAAACGGACATGGGAACAGACTCTTGGTGTGCAGAGTAGCGCTGTGTGATTTGTGGTGGTGGTCGGGTCAGGACAACCGTGACGACCTTCTTATTTTGGACAAATCCCACAGATGGTCCTGTGACAGTCTTCAGCATGTGAGATATGACAGCGGGGGGTTGGGGGATATGCCACCATCACAGGGTACGATCCATTGGAAACAATCATGTCAGGATAGTCTGTCGCTCATTTTGTATCGAGAAAACAGGCCGGAAAAAGAAAGAAGGGAAAAAAGAATTCCATGGCTGCTCGATCGATGTATTGGTATTAGCGTTGGTATTGGTATTGTTATTCCCCGAAACAATTGACAAAGCGCCGTGTCCTCCCTCCGTGTGACTGTGGGTGCAGGAAAGCCCACCGTTTTCAGCGGCCAGTCCAGCTCTCCACCGGTCGTCGGGACATACAGACCTTTGCTCTTTTCTGTCCCCGTGTGTGTACGTATCTCCCTACCTGCATACCAGATACTTTGTTAGAACTGTACCAGCACCAGGCTATATTGCTCCGTACAGGTATGCAAGCTCTGTCAGCCCAACAGCCCAACGACCCAACTTGCCCCATCACCTTGCTGTACTCGTACCTGTGGCTTTCCAAATCGGACAGGCAAACAGGGACATACAGAGTAACGCGCCTACAGCGCCATCACTCCACTCAACCCCACTGTCCACAACGGCCTTTGTGCACGGTAGTGACTAAGAGGGGGGGGGAACTGGGCGTATGATGCAGACGTCTTTAGTATGCAAGTGCCGTATGGACTTGTCGAGACCTCGTAAACAACAAATCATCCCCATCCTCTTTGTAAAGTAAGTACCTAGGAGACTTTGTATCTTTGTCGGAGAGATGACGGATAGGGCGCGACGCCGGCAGTGGGGTTGGAGTGGATATTGACACCCAGAGCTGTACTCGGTGCCTACCTCTGAATAATAATAATATTACTCCGTAGGTACGGAACGGGACTAGTTCGACGCCTACCTGTATTACAAAGTACATAGACACCTCACGTCCTCGTACGAAGTGGAAGCAGAAGCCAGATTATCGGTGCTAAGGCGCGAGGTACGCTATGGTACGTATGTACCGAGTACATACTCGGTGCACAAGGGATCCACAAACAAAGGGGCCAGAAAAAGGGCGCGCGGGGCTACTAAAAGGGGAAAGACCCATACCCGATGCGGAAAGTCTGCCATTCCCGAAACCAGAAAGCGCTCCCAGCGAACCGAAAAAAAAAACCCCAATAAACAAACGAACAAAAAGATCCTCCTTGTATTTTAGACCGGAACTCGCGAATAATGCATGGGTGGCATGGTAATGGGTCCTTTTTTTTTGGTTCTTTTGCACCGTGGGTCGTGATCGTACTTGTGCTCGGTACTTTGAGTACTTACTAAAACATGATTAAACTCGTACTTGTTGACCCAAACAACTCCAAATACCACAAAGTGCGTATCTACGGTATACCTGGGTATTGGCCAAATAACCCATGACCCATGATGAATAAATGATCAATGATAGATGACGAGATAGACGCTTCTGGCTGGAAATACAGTACTTCATGCCCAAAACCAACACAAAACACAGAAACAGGAGAGAGGAGAAAAGTGTACTTTCGGTAACGGGATACGGGGGTCACCCAACATTACGCAACAACACTAGGTATGTTCACTAGGTACAAAGTGCATAGGGTCCTTTTCATCCATCTCTTGGACGTGATTAGTAAAGTAGTAGACCACGAGGCTGATAAGGATAAGGATAAGGATAAGGGCCCAGCACAAAGACCACAAAGACCGTGTGCCCTGTCCGCCCCCGTCTCCAGCGTCGAAGGGGTCAGTCGCTTACGTGGGCGGGATCGGGCCGGCACAAAGCTCTGTCTGTCTACAGACCGGCGATTTGAAAACCCGCATGGAGAAACAAAGATGATCCTTCAGGTATTGTTATAGTAAAGAGCCCGCGTCAAAGGGGCGAGCAAAAGCATAATGCGAATACATGTACGAGGTAGTTGCGCGGGTCTCCACATTCTGCAGTACGTGGCTTAATGTCTCTCGCAACAAGTCGTACACCGTGCTGAGCAGGTCACGGCACTGGACCAGGTACTCTTGTACATAATGACAGAGATCGTCTGCTGCTCGGGGGAAGAATCAAAATCCAATGTCAATCTCGAAGAGTGTCAAAGTCGGACGACCAGAGGCACACTCAAATAGTTATAGCAGGAAAATAAGGTGCCTTCACTCGCAGATTCGGCCCTTTACCCACGCTAACCATGGAACTCGATCGCCTTGCGGCAGTAATAATCTTTGACTGGCCTCAACTATACAGCTTGCGGTACGATTTCATGATACCGAACCGCCTCTTTCCCCGACACCTGCCGCTGAATCGTGAATAACGCCGATCGACAACTACCAAAGACTCGTGATAGCTGCGGACCTGGATAATCCCGTCGCTTTGTAGGAGCCTCGTGGAAGAGCTTGAAGGGTAGACGTCGGATTGGCCGGGAAGAACAACCTCGAAGATGGACGCTAGAACAAACAGAGCTCAATATGCCTAGTAAGCAAGTTCAGTACTAGCAACCTGAGTCAGGCTACCAGTCGCGGAGTCGTCCGCCATTCTCCAGAATTCCAGATCACCTGAATAGTATGCGCCTGCTGATAAAGTGATGAGCCAAGCTGATAGCCGAAGAAAACGGACCGTTGGTTGCCGTTGCGAGCTCAGACGAACGAGAAAGGGGTCTGATTTGAAAGCTGGACTGACGCGTGCTGCATACGGCGCAAATGTAGCTTCATCATCCGAGCGCATGAGCAAAGCACTTGTAGGTGACAACCCACGCCGCATGATCAACTGCCCGCACCGTTTCCAAAGAGTAGGCGCTGGAGGAAACCATTGGTAGGTCGACTTGCGCAGGCGACGAACCCCAACGACGACAATCTTGACTGGTCTGCTCGGCAAGGCTGAATATTGGCCATGCAAGGTTTGTCATCCCGTACCCAGGCTCACTCAAAAAGGTTAGTATCCGGCACCAGCTCTTGTAGAAGAGCATTGGTCTCTTCGTTTCCCATCTCAATGTCAACATCATCCGAACCACACAGAAACACACTCATCTCCAGATCCGTCCAACGGGGGAGCAGATGTCTTTTGGCAACCCAGTCTTGAGCGTAGATGAACCGCTTCACCACGTTGTTGAGGGCCTTGGCTCCATCCCGCAGTTCATCCCACTTTTGCACGTCCTCAATTACTTTGTCGGTGAAATCTTGGTACCGAGAGGCAAGCTCCACGGCGAAACAGTTCCGACCATTGCCCACCGACATGCCGACGAGCAACAACCACAAAAACAAGTCGCGTCGATAGCGCCACAGATCTGTGCCCAAGCTCTTGGCGAGGTGTGCCAGGAGCTTCTCTGCCAGCCTGAGCGGCACAAAGGCGCTAGTCCATGTTGGCGTGCTTGTCATGTAACAAACAATATATACAGCCCACCGGCAGCATTCTGCTATCTGGCCCATTTTCTTGCAACTATCTTCGTGGAAGACAAGTCGAGACTGGATAGATGCTTGTAGGTCTTCAATCTTCTCCCGGTTGGTAGCACCTATCCCGACGAGCTCTTGGAGGTAAAGGACGTAGCGAATACATAGTAAGACATCGCTGCTGATGACATCTTCGTGTAGAACAAATCCAAGTGGTAGGGTAGGCAGTGAAGCAGTAGGAAATTCTTCGCTTTGGCCGAGAAGAAGGCCTCGGAAATCTGGTTGCTGGAATTGATGTTGAGTGCACACGAGCGCGGTACCTAGAAGGTGTTGCCTGCAACGAAGGGTCAATAAGCCCACTCCGAACTGCGTCTTTGGGCTCGACGAACCAGAAAACTGCGTGCAGTACATCAGACCGTAGTTGCGTGCCATCTGCATGGCAATGCTCGAGAAGCTTATAAAGACCCTCTGAGTGTGCTGAAGATTCAGCGAGGTCACCGCAATGATGCTATTGTCCGATTAGCCTCCACTGCTCAGACGTAACGTCTTCGACATACCGCGACACAGGAAAGAAGTAGTATTGTCCCAATTGACAGTGCTCGAATATTGGGATCGTCCTTCTGCAAGTCTTCTCTCAGGCATTCGATGGCTTTCGTCTTGAGTAGAAGCGACTCGTTTGTTGTGTTACAGGAGTTATGGATGTGAAGAATAGAATAGAGAAGGGCGTAAAGAAATGCCGAGTTAGTCAAGCACTCTGGAAATAGGGAAAGCGCCGTCAAGTCCCCCTCGACAGGCCCTGAGACAAGTAGTGGTTCGGCCGCCACTTGAAAGGCACCTAAACCGGATCAACATCAGGTTTTCACGGTGCGGGATAGGACACGTACAGCTCCTGAGAAGGTAGTCAATCCGTGTTGGATCGAGATCAATGGCTTTTGAAATATGCGCCGCGTATGGATGGCATTCGTCGGTGGAGGCCGAAGCACCAACAACTGGGAGCTGACCCGAGCTCGGCAATTGGGGATTGCTTGGCTTCGAGCCAGTCTTCGCACAAGTGCATCGTCTCGGAGGACCATCGCCTGCCGATGACGACAGGAATTGAAAGGCGGTTGAGGGAGTATCAGCACCGCCGGGATTCAGGGGGCACTGTTGCGAGCCACCTTCTCGTGATGGAAGGTTTTCAATTTCCGGTTCAAGACTGCTACAGGCATCCGCGCTCGGGGGTTGTTTTCGCTTGCCGCTTTTCACTTTGCCTCCCTCTGAGAAATCTGTAATGGTCAAGGAACGAAAATTCTCTAGCCGCCGAGTGCTTTTCTGGTTTGATCTCTCCAGATTGACTTTCCGGACGTGTGATCGGAGAGCACGTACTTGGCTCGAATCCAATGAAGACCCTGGCTTCGTCTCATGCACAAAATGAATTGGTTGCGACATGGCACGGGTCGGCTGAAGGGGGGGGGGGAGGGCAGTCTTGGTGTGAGATTTCTTTTGCGGCAGAAATAAACGATTAATTATCCCCGTGAGGTAGATATAGAGGAGTAGACTCGTAGGAATGTGATAAGGGCAGTACCGAAGAGGCTTCTGAAGGCCCGTTAGCAAAGTACCGTAGCGTAAAGCATCCAGGATGCCAAAAGTCCACTTTGTCGCGGGCAGTTTCCTCCAATGTGAGGAACACGAAGGGCTTGATATCCCCCATAAATATGACTAAGGGAACCTGCCTGTAGTGCAGCGTGGAACCGTCGCTTTGGTAATGTTCGATCCTCTGCAGGCGAACTCGATTATGGCATCTCGCGTGTGGCTAATGCCCCTGTAGCTTGCTCTGAGGGCCTGCAGGACTGATGTTGTACGAGCAAAGGGGGCACCGTCGTGCTTTTCCGATTGGAGAACTCTCCCAAGACTCTGGCGGCGTGGGATAGCGTTAGGTGCCTGGGGAGGGTACAGGCGGGCGGCAGACGATCAGTGGTGGCCCGGCAATTCCGTCTTATGCTTCAAATGGCCATAAGAAGTCGCGTCTCTCCACCGAGTCCACTCTGTTTTCTATTCTCTCAACTCTCATATACGTCTGCACTTCTCTGGCTAGGGCCGTGTTGTAACTTTGAGGTGGCAAGAACGGCGGTGCTCGTCTTCTTGAACGGTGAGTCGGAACCCTGTGTGAGCTATTCAGGATGGTTGTGAACGAGCGAGAGTGGTCAGGAGGGGAGTGAAAGCACCACAACCAAACTATCTTGCTGACTCTAGCCCGCCGATGCAAGGAAACCTGTTCGCCTCCCGGCACGCCTTGGCTTGACGTCTGATACGGGACCAAAACCCAGGTCGAGGCACCAATCGTGGCGTGGTGAGCCTGGCGAACACCTCGATCAAGAGCAGGGCGCAAGACGTGGAGGCTGCGACTTTCTCCACGGGAGGCGAGTCGCGCAAGTTCATCATCGTCGATGTCTCCCGACAAGGCGGTTTGAGGACGGGGGCCGCCATCGGTAGGATATCAAGGCAAGCAATTGCAAACTTCGGCAAGGGCGTTTTTCCTCGTTCTTCGCCATTCGCCATTCGATCGCATCCGCCCGAAGCTCACCGTGCCAGCGGGTCGCTGAGATAATGGAGCCCAGGATTTAGCTTTGTCCATCACGCAGCAAGCGAGTCTGATTTTTGTCGGCTGTGCTGGATTAAAGCGGCGATATCGTCTCCGCCAATCAACCCTTGGCTCTGCATTAGCGGCTTGGCAGAGTCCAACGTCCAGCCTGGCCTTCTCCAATCCACCCCCAGACTACTATCAGCCCCTACTAAACAATATCACTCAACCTACACCGGCAGGTTCAGTGGAAGAGGAAGTGTCCACGCGAGTTGCAATTTGGAATCATGACTCCCGGCAGCTAGTCATTCTTGCCCAGACACCCTCGAGCTTGCCTCGACGCCAACCCACGCACCATGTCACCACCCTCTCCTGGCTTCTCCGAAATCCAGAAGCCACTGCACTTCCCGAGTCGGGACTCTCTCGAACTTGCCTCCCTGGCCGACTCGGAGCACGATGAGCTACCCGAGTCCGAAGAGTCCTCGCGCTCCGGCATTTCCTCCTCCCGACGACTCTCCCTCGAGAATGAGGATCCTCTGGACAGTGCGAACCCAGCATCCGCTCGTCCCAACGCTCATGGACGTTCCTACTCCGTCTCATCCGCCTTTGACTTTACACCTGCCCTGTTTCCACTTTCTTCGACTGCGGGAGGAGGATACACCGCTCTAGGAAATCCGTCAGCTGTGTCACTATCTCTAGAAAGACGTGGGGTGTTACAAAATCTAGAAAAAAACAAGACCTTGACATACCTCAACGGGCTCTCGCTCGTGGTCGGATTGATCATAGGTTCGGGAATCTTTTCTTCGCCAGCACAGGTGAATTCACACGTGGGGTCTCCCGGTGCAGCACTGCTGGTGTGGACAATTTCTGGCTTGTTGGCGTGGACGGGCGCAGCCTCGTATGCCGAGCTGGGAGGTGCGATACCACTCAATGGAGGTGCGCAGGTCTATCTAGCCAAGATCTTTGGTGAGGTGGTGGGCTTCCTATTCACTTGGTCCGCGATTCTTGTGCTCAAACCCGGCAGCGCAGCCATCATCGCCATCATATTCGGCGAGTATGTCGTTCGTGCGGCCATTGGTGCAGAGGTCGAGGATATCAATCCATGGATCAACAAAATCCCTGCACTGGCCGCGCTTATGCTTGTCACCCTCTTCAACTGCGTGTCGACACGCTTTGCTGCCCGGCTGGGTGATTTGTTTATGTTTTTCAAATTCGTCGCACTCGTGGCAGTGACCATCATCGGTATCATCGTAGCGGCCACTGGCCTCTCCTTCAACGGGCCCGCCAACAAAGACTGGCGCGACCACAACTGGTTTGAAAACACGTCGACAGACATTTCTAGCTGGGCCGTGGCACTCTACGCTGGGCTGTGGGCATTCGACGGATGGGACAATACGAACTACGTTACTGGCGAGTTTAAGAACCCCTCTCGCGATCTACCGAGGGTACTTCATACGGCCATGCCTTCTGTTATTGTGTGCTATCTTCTTGCCAACGTCGCATACATCTTTGTCCTACCTTTGGAGACTATCAACAAATCCAACACTGTTGCCGTTCAATTTGGAAGCAAAGTCTTTGGACCCATTGGGGCACTCATCCTGGCCTTGATTGTGGGCGCGTCTTGCTTTGGGGCACTGAATGCCACGACTTTCACCTCTGGACGCTTGGTCTACGTGGCTGGACGAGAGGGATACCTCCCTTCCATGTTTGGGAAGATCGGGCTGGGGACCTCCTCTGGACCGGAGACGCCGGTATCGTTGATCAACACCCGCAACAGATCATGGTTCTCGAAGAGCCTCGCCCGCCTCTTTGGGGACGAGACCATCGGTTTGGGATATACGCCCGTCAACGCAATGTTGCTGAATATGCTCCTCTGCATGATTTACATCATCCTGGGCGAGTTTGAAACACTACTTACATTCTACGGCGTCGCCGGATACACATTCTACTTCTTGACAGTACTCGGGCTCATTGTTCTACGAATACGCGAGCCTAGACTGGAGCGACCCTATCGCACCTTTATTACCACGCCTATCATCTTCTGCTGCGTGTCTTTGTTCCTGGTCAGCCGGGCTGTGGTGGCGCAGCCTGTCCAGACGATAATTGTGATTGTATTTGTGGTCAGCGGGATACCTGTGTACTATTGGCGGGTTGCGAGGCGAGAGGAGTCAGGGAGGCAAGGACGCCGGGGCATGGGCAAAAGGGAAGGACGTTTCTGGCGAAGATGGGGTCGGTCGTGATGTTAGTTCTGGAAAACATTAGGCGACATCGTTTCTTGGTTGATCACGAGCGTTACAGCATGATTGATTGCAATGGTTCTTGTAGCGGTATAGGACTGGTGGCACCCAAGGCTTTGGACGTTTGCAAGTGATTGGATAGTAAGAGCAGCATTGTCTATCAGATGGAATGGGTTCTTGCACATTTCTCACACACGAAGCATTGTCTGAAGTCCCAAACGGTGCACATATTCCCATTTGGTTCATGGACGGCACCACATGGGACTTGAGCCATAATCCAGGCACGCAGGCACGGAGAGACGCCAGGGTTGCTACGATACGAGTACCTCGCGGAAACGGGGTCATGACCATGCCTATTTCAGGCATACGTACCCTTGTCGGAGGGGCTAAGAGGAGCTAACCGGTTCTGGGTGCACGTACCCTGGCATCCTGGCAATGTTCGCCGATTACCTCGTACGTGTAGCGAGTAGATGCTGCACGGTGCAAGCTGCAAGCTACGAGTGCGTCAGATGTGTCAGATGTGTCAGATGTGATATGATATGCTATGCCATGCTATGCTATGTACTAGGTAATGTTATGTTTGGGTGTGTGAATGTATGTGTGTATGTATGTCCTTGTGCTCGGTAGATGTGGTAGGCCGCCTCGTGAATTCTCCGAGCCGAGTCTGTCGGCAGTCGAGCTAGATCCGTGGCACCGTCCGACACCGCGACACCACAGCGATTCCGAGTGGGAGGGTTGGGCATCAGGGACATCTCGACTCAACTGTCTACTCGTAATCTTTTTTCTGGCTCGGGAGTTCTCCCCTACGAGTAGAGAGGGAGCGAAGGAGCGGATGAACGAAGAAGCGGAGCCTACGGGGATAATCCGTCCTTGTCCATCTGTCTGGGATTTCTGGCGCGCGAGGCTGATCCGGAATTCACGGAAATTACCGCAGACGACGCTAGTGCTGTTATTGAGAGAACTGCACACAGAGTACCTTGTACTCGGTACCAGGACTCCGAAAAGTACGGTAGTGTAAGTGGTGTGTACTTCTACAGAAGTATTTCCTGTAGATCCAGAATATTCTTCGGCACGAAGCTAAACCGGCCGAGGAAGGCGTGCTAACTCAAACTACGATGTTTCTCTTCGCTGATGGGGGAGGGATATCACCTCACTGGACATGACATGGCATGGCATGATACAGTTTACGCCGCCGGCCGCCGGTGGTGGTGGTGGTGGTGGTGGTAATGAAGGAACTAGTGGTAGTTGGAGAGGATACCCATCAAAAGCCCTAGAGAGGTAGGTAGGTAGGTACCTAGGTACCTTGTACAGACATACCTTGTAGTAATAATAACAACACAAACCGCTACGCTAACAAACACCAGCGCAAATAATAGATGTGTAAGCAGAATCCACATCCATACCTACTAAAGGACCTAGTAGTGGTAGTAGGCACTCACGGTACTTAAGAACTCGGTACGTATCCGTGCGCCACACCATTCCTATTCGGACCACATTGCCCTGTTCCGGACTAGTGCGTGGGTAACAGCGCTAGTTCCGCTTTCGGCCACACCTGCCCCGCTGGGCCGCTTAGTTCTGGTTCGGGGCGGCGTTTACAAGCAGCGCGAAGAAACATGGGCGGAAGAGGATGG